TGTCAGTTTTAGCTGGATGAAGAAACTCATGGCGAAACGGTTTGTTTCCCCAAAGTTTAGATTTCCACATCAGTCAGTCAGCCTCAGTGCTGAGTGTCTCAGATCCTGCTCATGTTTGTGCATCACATGAACCCGCATGTTCCAGAAGTGGTGTGAAAATAACCACTAGCACTACTATTTTACAAACTCTATGTTTTTGCAATGATGCCATTCAGCGTGTGTGTTTCATCCTTGTAAAACCTCCAAGAACTAAATACCCAACATAAAGCGTGTGACTGTGTGCTGAGGTCATGTCAGAGATCAAGGGTCATGTTCACACTCTAAACTTTATGTTTTACAGAATGATGACAGCGAAGCCCAGCTGGACGATGCGAACAGCAACAGCACTGAGTGAGTCAAGTCTGTTGAGTTTTATTTCATGTTTTCAAGCCTTTTGACTGATTCTGACACATGGGACTATGGCATTAATAAATCAAATTAATTTGACATTTTTTAAATGTGAATCTTTTGATTTGAAAGAAGTTATATTTCCAAATAATCACACACAGACATGCAGTGTTGTAAAAAAGAGAGCATTATCTAACAAGTGTTAGATGATGCTGAGCTAGTCAAGAGGTAAATGTCTTTTTAATAGGATATAAACCACTGCAGAACAGTTTCATTAATCCCAACAAAAAACTTGGTCACTGTATAACTCAGAAGGCTGTTTGGTTCTGAATATGAATGAACGAGAAAGCATCCAAAAGCATGGATGATCAAAGCCTAAAAAGCTTTGATCAGATCCTTTCCAAAGATGACAGGAAGCTTTCACTGTAGGCAAAATCTCCATGAAAAACCAGGGTTTACTGATGACTGCAGCAGAGACGCGTTATCAGGGAGGATGTTGAACAGTTTCTTGTATATTTCATTTTGCAGAGGGAGAGATTTGTCTTCAGACTTCAAAACGGTAGGTGAAACATTTTTCTGCTCTCCATCTGAGAGTTGAAATCAGTCAGACACGTCTGGGACAGGAACGTCTGCAGCTGACACAACTAAATTACCATACAGACTGATGAGTTTCCCTTTTTCTGGTGATTTGTTGTTTCCTCTCAGTTGTACATCAAGGTACTGCAGGAGAACATGACTCTGAAGGAGAAATTGCAGGAGCTGGAGCAGCAGCTGAGCCAGAACAAAGTGGAGCTGGAGAGACTCCGGCAGGTTTGGCAGGTTTGCTGCTTCCTCTGACCTTTTATCTGGATTTGTTGTTCGTGTCGCAAAACATCAGGAAACAGAAATATTTTCATTTCGTACAAGTCTGAACTACGCAGAAAGCATTTTGTTGCTTAGTCAACAGGAACGTAAAAACAACCATCATTGTTTGCGTACTCAGAAGTTTTAGTAAAACATCTTCCTGTGATATTTGAGAGAGAAACACGCTGTCCCTGTGTTGCAGAGTCAGGAGAGCGACACTGACAGACCGGCCCTGCTAGAGCTGGAGAGATTTGTAAGTCAACTTCAGAGGTTTATTTTAAACACCTAAAACAAAGCTAAGCTGCCACTTCCTGTGCTTTAGCCTTTAAGCTGCTCTCTGTCGTTGCTTTGGAAGGTGTAATAAATGACGAGCCCAATGCAGAGAACGAGTTAACCGCTCTGCAGTTGCAGCGTTGCATGAAGCCCACGGGTTGAGCCGGTCATTGTCTGAACTTGCACAGTTTTACTGCAGAAGCTGAAACATTTTTTTTTTTTTGTGCTGTGGCAGTTTGTCTGTTTCCTGATCTTTCTGATTGGTTCACAGGAGAAGCTGTCCCTCCAGAGGAGAGCAGGGGAACTAGAGGATGAGCTGAAGGTACAAGTTCTTCTTGGATTATTATCACCAAAACACTAAGAAGAAGAGAAAGATTGCCGGCAAAGAGGGAGGGTTTGATCACTCTAATGCCAGTAAAGATGTTTCCATTAATCATTGAAAATGCATAAATTACTTTAAAAAATGTTAATATAACAGATCATTTTATTCAAAATCGATGCTCATATTTTTTTAGATTCCTGTCTCCAATCAGAAGCAAATTTCTTGGTTGATTGAATCTCTCTTTAAATCTAATGCATTTGAACTACAAGCCTGGATTATGACTGAATAATTACACACACACACACACACACACACACACACACACACACACACACACACACACACACACACACACACACAGAGAGAGAGAGAGAGAGGACAACACAACCATAGCCTTCTCGTCATTTCTTTAAATGAACCGATTCTGTAACGGTGTTGTTTGTCCGTGTGTGTAGGTTCTGAAGGACCTCAGAGCAGACAACCAGAGGCTTAAAGACGAGAACGCCGCCCTCATCCGTGTCATCAGCAAACTCTCCAGATGAACTGCAGTTAACCATGCAGACACAAAGTATTACACAACTCTTCTGTCGCCCAAACTCGGAGGACACAAACCAGTAAGGGAGACGCAGCACGGAACTGCGGACGTCCAGCTCACCGCCCGCCACAGCGTTTGGGTCTTTATGTTTTGGCAGATCTACTGTTTAATGAGGCAAACTGCACCTCCTGTGGACCGGCGGGATGTCCACATCCACTTTTATATTAGGTTTTTATTGTATTTTTTACCTGCGATGTTTTATTGTGCTTTGCTTCAGTGATCCTTTGTATAAAATCTGTATTCAGAGACTTGAAGCCATCCAGAAATGGCTCACAGTAAGGGGTGTGTCGCACGCAAGACTTAAATGTGCCAAAATGAGAGAAAAAAAATGAATTAAAATAGTTCCAGTTTTGCACATCTTTTAGGTAAAAAAAATGTGGGCAGTATTGTTTCTCAGGATGATTCTTTTCTTCCACGCTTACTGTTTTTAGTTGACTGCTGTACCGGTGGACCAAAACCCTGCATGCTCACCTTTCCCTGCTCCTTGTGTGCATTTCACATGTTCGTGCTGCAGCCGCCTGTGGCGTGCATCGGAGTAAAGGCGTGTTTAATTACTGCTGTGTTACAGACTGAGTGTTTGGGTGCTAACAGAGACATTGTGAGGTGAAACTCAGGTTCAGATACTTCAAATAATGTTACAGTTCGGATCTCTTCCTGGAGGTTGAGGAGGATCTGATCTTTGACCTCTGTACTGTATATTTTTTTATATATTTTTTTTTTTGCATTGTTAACTGGACGCTTCTTCTTAGTATTTACCCTTTGACGGCACTGCTGTTTAACAGACGGGCCAGATGGGTCATCCTTTGAATGTTTACTTCCTTACGAGACAGGAATGCATGTGGAAATGTATTTTGAAGCTGTGCCTTTGGATATACATTTGTAAGTAATATTTCTATTTTGCTTTTGGCATTGTACAAGGTCGAGTATAAAATACAACGTGGGCATAAATAATTCAGGGTCTGCTGCTTCTTACTGTTTGAATTTAACTTAAGATATTACAGTTGGCCCTATATAGCGTTTATAATAATGACAAAATAATTCCACCAGAGGGCGCTGATGCATTCCCAGTTTGTAGGCCGAATAAGGAACCAGTACAAACTGCATTATTGAGTTGGACCTCAGTTGATTGGAGTCTTTTATTCAGAACTCTAACGAATGACAAAACACGGTTTGCCTTGAAGGTTGTCATTTCGACAGCGATATGATCGCTCTACCTGTTCAGCAACGTTCAAGTGCCAACATGTCCTGAGGTTGTTTTGGTGCCGCCTGCTTCCAAATCCCTTCAGATGAATTCTCTTGATAGTTAAAAAAACAAAATTTAAAATCCAGCTTTTAGGTTGAGCATGTTTGTAACTTGGGAAGAAAAATTCCAAGTTTAACATTATTGCAGTTCATACAATATTCAACCCGTTTTTGGACAAAAAGATGCCACATAGTCTTTTCTAATATGTCACAAGCTTGAAGCACACAAATACAGAAAGACAGTTCATACAGTGAACAATTTATCCAGTCAGATTTTTGACACTTTTTAGGTCTGATTCAATTCAATTTATATTGTGCCAATTCACAACAAATATCTCAAGGTATTTGACCAAAATAAAATAAAAAAAAATCATTTGACTTTTGGAGGCTGATTTTTAGTCTGGTGGACAATTTGTCATAATTTGCCACATGGACCGGATCAGTATCCTGTTGATAGACCCAGAGGAACTAGTTTTTCACTTAGTTCCTGGTGCTATTCTTTTCTGGTGCCTATATCTGGCAGTCTTCAAGGGAGAAACATCCTAGACAAGTTGTTACAGGTAATTTATAGACCAATTAATCTAACAGTCATTTTTCTGGACTGGGGAGAAGTCAGAGTACCCAGAGAGAACCCACAGCTGCTGAGGGAAAACAAACTCCATTCAGAAACACCTTAGATATTCAAACCCTGGACCTTTTTGCCTAAACACAAACTTTACCACTCAAAAATTGGAATTTGATTATTTTCAAGGTCTGGATTAATCTGGAAACAATGAATATGGAAGAATATTTGCATTTACAAAATGTAATTATGAGCTTTGTGGTGTCCATTGATCCTTCTTTCCTTTGATTCTTTGTTTTCATCCATCTTCACTCACAATAGAAACGTCCACCGAACATCTTTAATAGTTTTACAGTGAGTAACAGACTCTGACAGCCTGGATAATATAATATGTAGGCTTCCAGTAGAGTTAAAGGCTGTTGGTAGGACAGAAACAGGCGAGTTTAAGATTTACCAAACTGTTGCTGTGAAGATCAGGTGTCCCCCAAGGTGCTACCCTTTGCAGCAGTTCTCAAACAGGAACTTGTGGAGATTTTAAACAGATTTCCTTGAAAGAGGCATCAACTTAAAATTTGTTTCAATTCAACTTAGCAGTGCCAAAAACTGTCACATTCTGCATTCGTGCCAATGATCATTTCTGCAAAGATAAACTCCTTCTTTCCTTCCTTCCTTCCTAAAGCATCGAGAGTGAAATTTAGATGATTTAATTCAACCTTCAGATTCCCTGTTGAGCACATGCTGTAACGCGACTTCACTGCAAAACACGGCATCAGAGGCCAAGTTGAGCAAAATCTTTATTGACCAATAAGAGCAACCACAAATGATGATATAATACACCCCACCAGCATGCCAGCGTTTTCATAGAAACTGTACAATGTGAAGGAATGTATGGCGCAGGAAAATAAACATAGCAAGGAGAACAAAGTGTTTTACATCCAGATGCTCTGGTACAGTACACGTTTAATTTGATCTAACATTGGTTAGTTTAGTGTCACCTGATCTCATGTTGTGGGTCAGTCAGCAGGTTGAGCCCAGACACCGCCGAGGTCTCCGGCGGCGGCGGCGGCAGCAGCAGGCGGTGCCTGGCTCAGCCTCCTCCACGCCTCCTCTTGACAATCAAGATGAAAAATGTAGTGAGAATGGTGTACAATAAGGCAAAACGGGAACGATAAGCAAAAACAGCTTCATAATGTTAGTTTTCCTCCACATGACTGTAGTTTGGTACTAAGGCCTCACGGCTGAGACAGGCAAGGTTACCAATACTTTGTGTTCGTTTGTTTTCCCCCAATTCAGTCGTAACATTCAGTGGACTCCAGAGAGCAGGAATTAATTCAGATTGGTGGGGAGGGGGGCCTTGTGCAGGTAACAATCTCCGCTACAGCAGGCCGACGGACGGTGATGAAACAAAGCCTTTCAGGAACAGACCAACTGATAGAGTGCTGCTCGTACACTGAAGACACGTTGAGAAGTTTAGACATAAGGCAGCTACTTTTCTACTCGACACTCCCTTGTTGACTTTGGCCCCGGCCTCCTGGATGGAGGGGTTGGGGTGGGCGAATATATTTAGTGAAGGTGCTACGGAGCAGCTCCGATCGAACTGTTACAAGGCAGGTATCGGTTCTTGTATCAAAAGACACCAAGCGAAGGAACGGTAGTGTGAGGGAGGGAAGGGCAGAGCGGATGCGGTGGGGTTAGCTATGAATACAACAGCTGATTAACATGTGCATACAGTCACATTACACAACCATTGATACAATTAGATATAAAAAAAAAAGGCAAACAAAAGTTGATTGTACATTTGCTTGTCCACATGTACTTCATACTGAAAGAGGAAGACACCATTCTGGCGAGGGGGGGAAGGGTTAATCTCTTCAAGCAGCTAAAACCAGGAGGACCAAAGCTGAGTGTGAGGAGGCTTGGTGCTACATAGCAGGTCTGTGAACAGAGGAGGGTCGTGAGCAACCAATGAGCCGTCGTGCAGGTAGTGATGAGATGGACGGAGGGAGGAAGGGATGGATGGACGGAGGGCAGGGCGAGCTCAAGACAGCCAGGCCACAACTAAGGCATGAGAGCATGAAATGCAAAGTAACAACAAAGAAGGCAGAAATGGTGGACAACAGGATGAGGATGGGAGGAGGGACGGAGGAGGAGTGGGGTGAAGGGGAAGAGCCCTCCGCCCCAAACACAAAGGCCTCTTTTAATCGTTCCAGTCTTTCTTGATGTTGAGGTTCCACTCCCAGGACAGGTGGTCGTGCTTGTCGTCGTCGGTGAACTTGGATTTGATGACGTAGTTGCCGCGGGCCAGCATGCCTTTAGGAGCCTCCTCCATCGTGGTCAGGAAGTCGTATTCATTGGGGCGCGGGCCGTAGCTGCCCACCATGTAGTCTGACTTATCGACTGCCAAGAAAACAGAAAATGGTTCTGTCAGTTTGTCTTCATGATAGGGATGCAACACAACTCACTCTGTGTGTTTTGTCGTTTGTTCTGTTTGTCGCTCTTTGTTTGATTTTGGTCAAATCAAACAAAGGTTTGATTTGATTTAAACCTTTATCTAGGTTTATCTCTAGATAAAGGAATCTCAATCACATCAGGCCCAAAGAGGCCCAAGTTCTATTGTCTTGTCTTCTGATAACATGATTCTAAGCCCATTGTATGTTTTATCACGTCAACAAAATGATGTCTAGTCTATTTTTAAGGTGATTAGTTCATTCAAGATGAGATCAAAACTGAACAATGAAGCTGTGTCTAAAACAAACGCATCCAAATTTCTGCAATATATCCCATTTGAAAACAAAAAGTTCTGTTTTTCAAAATACTGACAGGCAAAAGATGATTCCAAGAAGAAAACATCTGAATGCAGCTTTGCATAGGTCATAATTTTTAATTAAAGAACCTGTGAATGCAGCAGCCTGTAAGTGAACATCAATTAAATGTTCAGTTACAGGTGAACTCTTTTGCATTTTTATAATGAAAAATAAAACTCAGTAAATGATCTAGCCTCCACATAAAGACCACATTAAAAACATCTGTTGCATAAAACATCATTAGGTTATTGACTTGAAAACTATTACTCTATTGGCTAGTTATGTTATCATCTTTACTGCACTTTAAATGACCAAACCCATTACTTTGCTGGTCATTAATATATTACTGGTTGATATGTTTTTTCTGTCATAGGCCCACTTTATTCCGACTTATTTTTATTAAGTCTGACTTTTAAGTTCTGTAAATTGGAACATCTTTTTGAGCTCTGTGGGAAATCTGTTTCCAAAAAAACAAATCTAATGGGCAGTGTGAGGACCTCCTGTCCATTTGATCACTGCTGAATCTGTTAAAGTACGTGTTAACAGTACAGAGATGTGAGAAAATCTCCACCAAATGCCCAGCTGCTGTCCAGTTCAGGTTTCCATGGTGACCATCAGCACATCATTGCATCTGAATCAAAACCTAAAACAAAAACGGCCTTCATGTTTTCAGGAAAGCTGTGATCGTCACAAATTCTCTGAAATGTCTGTCGTTCTATTAAAGATGTCTGAACCATGTCACAGCTGCCATTAAACAGTAAAATCACGCCACCTACTGGCATAAATTGTCTTGCATCTGTGTTTTATTTTAAACAGGGCTCCCTCAAATTTTCCAAGTCAAAACGCCAAAAGCTTTAAGAGTCCAGTTCCAGAGCTCCCAGCCGGTTTCTGAGCTCAGGTTTTAAACACGGAGTCTGCAGAGATTTGACAGAGAGGACAGAGGACAGGATGGACAGACGACACGCCAGCAGATACGACAAAGATAACGGATAGACGATTTGCTGGATAGAATAAAAATTTTGGCTAGATAATAAATGGATGAAGGGGGATTGAATGAATTGTTTATTTAAGGAATGGACAGTTTGAGAAACAGATTGGATGTTGGACAGAGAACAACCAGTGTGATGGGCAGATATGAACGTGACAGATTATATTAAATTAATCAACAGCATGGATGTGCAAATGGCTGGACAGACGGACGACTGTATGAATATTTGAAGTAAACCATCAGCTAAATTGTTGGAACAGTTTCTATCAATTCAGATTTTTTTATGTGGACAAAGACAGCATAGGAGGAGTGGAGAAACTAATTTTGATACTTTTCCACCCTGGAAAAATTACATCCTGTGGAAAAACTTGCAATCGAACCTGGTCATTTCAGGAAGCAAATCAGTAAAAAAAAACAACAACAAACATTTACAGAAGATTGAGCTGGATCAAAGTATATGCCTAAGTAATAATTAACCACAAAGAATACAGTATATCTATAGATTACATATTGTAGACCAAGATAAATGCAGAGACATTTATCTCAGTTTTGACCTTTGTCATTAGAAAAGTGTAAATAGTCACCTTCAATTATGTCTCTTAAAAGCAGAATAAAATAGAGACGGACCGCGCAGTTACTTTAAGAATTGCACTTTAGTTTCAGACTGGATGCTTTGGAGGAAATATAACAATATAAACATTTGACAGCTGTTTACAGCGTTAGTTTAGCGTCAGGTGATGCAAAGCCAAACGGCCTTTGAAGTGGAGTGGATCTCCAGATGAGCCTCTGTGAGGGATTTGGCTGCAGGGAGTCCTCACTACCGTTTGGCTTTGGACAGACAGAGCCTGCTGAGCTTCAGAGACAGCGGAGTAACGTCTGTGGACAAGCGGTTCAAAAGACATCAGGAGAAGCTGCTGACTCACTTTTCATTCCTTTCCTGAACGTCTGCTGCACGTACTTCAGGCCCGAAACAATCTCCTTGTTCACCTGAGAACACAGAGACCACCTGAGATATTAGCAGAGACAAATCTTACAAATGAGTGTTTATTGTTTTACAACAAGAGTTGAATAAAATTAGTAAGTTGGGGGTCTGGGGGGTTCTTCTTGAAAGTAAATTCTTCGAGTTTAGCAGACCTGAAATGAGCTGCAGTGGATAAAAAAATATGGATGGAAAACTAAATTATTGGGCCTGACAGTAAAATGAGTTATCACCATTTCTCTCAAAAACAAACGGACTTAGAGGGTCTCAGAACAACACAAAGTGGATTCTGTGACTTTGAGGCATTACTCTACAATTTCAGGGATATTACAGTCATGCTAAATCTTTGCTATAACTTCTCTATAACTGTGTATATCTACATTTGAAGAAAAACATAACTCCTAAAAAAGACAGACATGAGCTCTTACCTTAAAGCTGATTTTGATTTTGTATTCTACGCCCTCCTTTAGCACGAAGGCCTGCTTCTTAAAGGCTTCTAGGTCTCCTGTAAGGAAAGTTGGACCGTCATGAGGACTGAGGACAGAAATCAAACAGCAAGAATCTCACGCCAAATTAGTTTCTCCCTCATTTCATTAAAAATAACATCTGCCATACTTAACGCCAGTATGCTGCCGGTTCTGAAATTCTCAGCAAAACATTTTTTCCATTTCTCTATGAATGCCACAATTAACATCAGGTCTCAATCTATTAAAAACATGTATTTTATTACTTTGTAGCAGCCTGAAGTTATCAGTTTTAAAGATTAAAGGTTTTTTTTCTGAGGAAAAAAGTAAAAAGCTGTTGTTTTCGACACTAAACAAAAATTTGAATTGTTTTGTGATTTGAAAATTTCAGCATAATTATCCGGTTTTTATTTTTTTGTGTAAAGTTGTTAAAATGTCTACATTTGTGATGATGTAAAAAACAAAGATTGTTTCTTACATCATCACAATCTATTGCTCAAAAAACATTCAAAGAAAGTCTGTCTCTTCAGAAAAGCTTACAGAACTGTAAGTAGGACAACTCAGCAGAGAAACTACAAACGATAACTTAGTTTTATTTTTAGGTTTCTGCAGAGCCTCTTTCTCACACCCACTTCATTTAAACCCATATTTTGGTGCAGGCGCACAAATAAATATTAATTTTATATAGACTGGGCCATGGTTTGTTTAGTTTTTGTTTGTTTCTGGAGACTTAAAAAATACATTTGTTTAAGTGAACGAAATCTAATGGGCATGCAGACAAACACAGTAGTTTATGTGCATTGATCATCTTCCAAGTCCTGAACTAGAAGAGTCTAAAAATGAACAGGGAGTCCCTTGTGTGGTGACCCCATGTCCAGCATCCCTGACCCAAACCTCGTGCTATATGGGTTCTCCATCTCCTATTACTTTATTTTTATTCTGTTCAAGTACGAGTCTGCTTGAACTCATCATAATCAATGACTCATCAGCAAATTCTGACAGTGTCTATTAAATTAATTAATGCATGCAAACCTTTTTTTAAGACAACACTTTGTAAAGAGGAGGTAAATGCAATTATTCACACATATTCTTCAGCATATCAAATGCAAATATATCCAACAGTTCACTACTTCAGCTAAGCACACCAGAACTACTCTTGTTAGCTCTCAGATTCAGTGGAAATATTGATAACGTGACACCAACTCAGCATCTTCTCCATTGCATCTACTGAGCAGGATGTCATAATTGGATGAGAAGTTTCAAAAAGCTGCAGTGATGCGAGGGAACACAGCAGACAGAGGACAGAATGTTCTGCACCGACTCAAATCATGGCCAGCTGGAGGTTTTCCACTGGGAGTAAAATGACTTCAACTGTGTTAAAATACGTTTTTGAGCACTTCCAGGTTTGACACAGGATAAGGAGACGTGTGGTGGTGAGAGGAAAGAAAGGCTCTGTTTATTTTTGCTGTTATACAAGCGATTAGCTTATAAACATTTGGCTGCATTCAGCCCTCTTGTAGTTTTCTGGATAAACATTTTGACCCCAGTAAAAAAAGACCATAAATCCGAGAAAATATTGTGCAAATTGGATGAAAAAATGGGCTTACCTTGCAGGTCCAAAACCAGGGGATTTGGTGCACTTTCACACACGAGAGACATTCGGGTTACCTGGACATTAGGGGCATTTGGATCTGGATGGGATTGAAAAAAAGCAAACAAAATGTATATTTAGATTAATACACTGACAAGAATCCTTTTAGGATGCTAACAAATGTTGGCGATTGCTTTGTAGGAACTATGTTAGAAATAACATCCCATCAAAGCCCAAAGTAAAATTTATAATCAACCTTTCCCAGTTCAAGATATGTGGCAAAGATATATGGTTTAAAATATCAGCTTCCCCCAACAGGAACAACTTCAGTTAGGCTATGATCTTGATGCTCAATTCAGATGTTTTTCTGAAATGTGATTTGTTTTCTGCTTCCGCAATCTGTGTGAATGGTTTACGACTCCAAAGCAATGCACAAAAGAAGAAAGTTACATGACAACAATGATGAATGTCGCACTCTGTGTATCAATATTGTAGTTATTCAACAATGGACGATGGCAATACTGCTTTATGATCATAAAATGAAGACGCTAATAAAAAGAATGCACAACTAATAGAAATGGTCTTTTGTGGAGCATTGACTCCAACTTGTGTACAGAAGTTTGTTTGGATCCATAGTTGGACCAGGAGTGGCAAGATTTTGTTGTAATGAGCTTCACCAACAAATACTTATTTCATAATTTCCCAAAATGATCATTTTAAAACTTTATTTACAGCCAAGTTTACTGTATCTTGATTTGTCTGGCGCAGAATTATGCCACAATTCTCAAATTAACAGATAAACTGGAACATGACCATTCAGATGCTTTGACAACTATTGGATATCTGATTTAGTTCCAGATATTAAAGTGGCATAAATTAGACTTTTTTTCTGCAGAAAAGATTAGAATTGGGCATTTCACACTCCAGTGAAAAAGTGAGTTATGGGTCAGTTTTGACTGTTGTATGACTTTTGCTTAATGAGCAACAGAATAATTAGACTGTACTGACATTTTTTAAAGGACTGTCCATCTTTAAGCGTATGGTATACTTCAAACCAAATCACTGAAAGTAGGGATTCTGACATCTCTGCCCACATGAACATAAAGTCCAGAATTAAAGATTGGGTCGAATCAGGAAGCTCCCTGTACAAGCATTTCAGTCATAAAACTTCTTACCTAGAAAATATTCCATACTCAAGTGTTATTTGTATTGTTGGTAAAGTCAAAGTGATGGGTGAAAGCGACAAGGTGGTAGCCATGATGTAAAATCAGTTCTGATGAGGCTCAGTGCTTCATTCTGGCCGTATGAAGTTGGAAGATTTTCCAACTTCATACGGCCTTCAGATCAGCTCAAGAACAGTGAATGGGAAGCATTGAACTGGGTTTCATGGCTGAGTGACCTAGTGTCATATCACCAATTATAATGCAAAGTGTCAGAAGCAATGGTGTAAAGTGCACCACTATGGGACTCCACCGTAACTCAGATGTTCTCAGGAGGGATGAATTAGGCCACTTTGGTAATTCAACACACAACTCAGAAACTGACAGATACTCTCTTTTTAGTATCAGTATCTCTGACTGTATTGTGTTAGGTTTATATGTCAATGCAGACTGAAGTTAGGCTTGGCTCCTTACTGATCACAAAAGGAACAAAAGCTTCAGCTTACAAGTTAAATGTTGTGGAAAGTTCCATGCTCCCAACTTGTGTTAGACTGTCCCTTCCTGTTCCTATGTGACTGTGCACAATGCAGCATCCATAAAGACATAGATGAGAGAGTCTGGTGTGGAAGAAGTTTACTGGTCTCCATAGAGTCCCAACATAACAGAACCACGTTCTCGTAAATTATATAACATAGTTCTTGTCTAGTACCAGTGTCTGATTTCTTACTCTCAGATAGTCAAACATTCAAATTCAAAAATGCTTTATTGATCCCAAAGGGAAATTAAATGTTGTTATAATTCGTTTAACTAAAGAGATATTGTAGATTGTGATAGCTGTAGGCAGGAAAGATCTCCTGTAGCAGTCTGTATTATTACTTTGAAGAATCCGCTGACCTTTTTCTATGTCATTAGGAGAATGCTCATCCCCATAAACTTACTCCTAAAACTTTTAGAAAGCCTTCCCAAATAAGTGGAAGCTGCTACAGCCATAAATAGTTAATGGACATCATTAAACCGTTTGTGTGTGGCTGAACAACAACAACAAAAAAAAACATTTCAGTGTCATTTTTTTTAACATAACAAGAACCACAAATTGCGTCTTCTTCCTTACAATTTTAGTTTTAGGTCATTGCTAACCAATCCATCTAACTTAAATAATTTCATTACGCCTCCAGCATGCCAACAACGCCGCAGAAACCTGTTAATCACCCACATAATTAAGTCATGTGTGCACAGCAGGGAAACCCCTAAAACATACAGGACAGTGGCTCCAGAGTACCAGCGCTGACAACTACTGGGACACAGAACAATCAGACATGAAGATCTGTAAACATTTGCACCACAGTGGGTCAGTCTGGAGGCAAGGAGTGAGGCTTTTTACACACATTCCTTCCAATCTGAGAAATGTATAGTTGGTGGTATCCAGCAGTTCAGACATTGGCTGTAGTGAAAATGATTTGAACGAATGTGGTCACTCAGACATGCTAATATACCCTCAATTTACTTTGAGATTACAGCAATCCCAAAGATTACTGTAAATATTTCAAAGTTCTTTAAAGCTATTCTGGAACTCTTGAAGTATTTATCAGTCCAGTTACTGCAGCACTGCAGGAGGCCTGCACATGATGCGAGTCCTGCATCCTGCAGCTGTTCAAATATGTGAGCTCCAGGGAGCTGAAACTGGGACAGTCCTGCTGTAGTTCAGGCATTCTCTTTGGTAATTAGACTTTAGTTTCTTGGTTGCAGTGTAGCAAAAAATAATTAGAAACAAATGGATTCAAGTTCAATCCTATAGATACTGGATCGCCGTGCTGGAAAACATGAAGACCAAGCTGATCACATCCCTAATCCAACAAAAGGTCAACCAGCAGTGAGTGTATGTTCACATTAACACAGGATATTTTTTATGCTGTCTCATTTAAGAACTTTGAACGTAATGAACACAGTTTAGTTCAAAATTATTCATACTCCAAGCAGACTTAACTCTTTAATTTGGCCAACATGGTTCTTCTGACTGAAAGTAATTTTAAATTAGAGAAGCTCAACTTCACTGATTCTGTGGAATGATTTTTAGTCTGGATGACTGAAATTAAACAAAGACTTGAAGGTCATCACCAAAAATAGTTGAAATACCACTGGAAGCATGCAAAAGCTGGCCGGCAGTTTGCTTTAATGCAAATAAAGTTTAGTAACTGACTATTGAAAAGGTTCTAATAGTTAACTTTTTAATTAAATGCAGATAAAAACATTGCAAATAATTTCATATTGTTTTATCATCATGTGGAAGATCTCTGCCTTATTTTCTACCAGAAACAAAATTCTTGATGTAATTAATGCAGAAATTCACTAATAAGGGCATATTTTGAACGAGTGTGCATCAAATTAATATTTGAGGATATTATGCCCATTTTAGTTACATTTTGTACAATACATGCGTCATACAAACTCTAACCAGTCAACGATCATTATGGTTCTATCCTTAACAAATTACTTAAGGATTTGTTGTAATCCTTAAGTAAGTTAAGGGGTGTTATTGGGTAATAACATTAGGAAACAGAGACCCAGATCTAGAGGAATTTAGTTGAGAGGCTACAGCTTATTTCTAGAGTAATCAAGCTTTACATTTAATATAAATCCATAAACCTTTGTGTAAAATAAAATTACCTTCTTTTTTTTTAATCAAAATACACAATGGCATGTAAGGTGTGCATGAGTTACCAAACATTGATGAGTAATTATTCCTAGATTAGCATAAACTTTGGCTTCATACGTTGCAAGAATCTTAGACATTTAAGTATCCAATATTTGAAGTCTGGTTAGTTTAAATGCAAAGAGGTGTGAGACATAAACTGTAAGAGAAATAGTATGTCAGCTATACAGGCAAGAATATTTTGGTGTGAATGAGAATGATTCTGAAATATCTATAGAAACCCTGTTCTGATACCTGCCTGGTTTCCCCCTGCAACAGATCTCTCTGTCTCTCTCAGTAAGTTACAATCTTACCTCAGAAGACCCTGCATCATCGTCCCTGCTGCTGGCCTCTGGTCTAATGTCTCCTCCCTGACTCTCTGCTCTATTATGACAATAAAGATTTATTTTAAATATGTGACAAGCAATAGTGACCAAAACTTCTGCACAAAAAGAAAAAAGTTATTGGTTTTATTCCTGGCATTGAAGAACCAGCATTTGCAGAAGTGGGTAGAGAAGTCAAAACTACTTAAGACCAGCAACATACTTTTACAAAAGTAAAGAAGTAGCTTTCCAAGAAAGTACTCCGGAGTTTAAAAAAAAAAAAAAGTGTCTGATAAAACTGAAGGCAATATAAGTAATAACAAAATCAGATTTAATATTTCAAAATAATGTCAAACAGATACAATATAAAATCAAGCGCCAATAATGGCATTTTAAAGACTACATTTTTAAAAATGACCAAAACATATATAGAAAAGACACTGAGGTCAACTGAATTTACTCAGTTAATTTGGAAAAAATGGCCAGCTTTTTGACTGGCTGGCTTGCTGCCATGACTAATGGAGACCGACGTGCTGCTCTGCTCAGCAGCACACCTTCCCTCGCTGATCCACACAGATGTAAAACCGACACTGTGTGCGCTCACGGTCCATTTAAAGACGGTTTGTAAAAACACGTCATAGCATTACATTTGGTTTACCAACATATCCCTCGATTCTTAGAGCAAAAAACATTTTCTATGAATACTAAACTTGCAGCAGAATATTATTTAGTTCTTCAGGGGTTTTTTGTTTGTTTTGTACTACAACTTACAAAAAAACACATCAGCTGTTAATGTCTACATCTCAGGCAAATAATTAGCCACATTTCCAACACAATCCCATAGCAAAAACCATTTTTAACACCAGAAGGGATTTAAGATTTAAGCTTCTTAAACCATGAAACTTTAGAAACAGTTTCAACAGCAGCAGCACCTCCTCCCCTGATCCAGCACATAATCATACTCTGACATACCAGCTTCAGTAATCCCGGGGCCAAGCAGGGCTTCTTTGTATTTGCGTAGACTTTCGTCATCTTTATCCAGCTCCTGGATCTCTTTCACAGACTTCTGCGCTGGTGGTTTATAGTTTACTGGTTCTGGCTCCTCATTTTCGGCGGCAATGGCTGCTAGCTGCTCTGGGGTCACCTCATCCTCAGCCATGTCTGAAGAAATTAAGAAACATACATCAGAACAGCAGCAAAGCCAGCTGAGACTTTAGGAATGTAAAATAAATAAACACAGAAGTGCAAAGAAATAACCAAAACAATGATAAACACTTAAATATACATTTAACCACCCTAATCTCAAATCCTGATTGAAGAGGTTTTGAAATCTGTACTGCAATGCATCTAGTGTGCTGCTGTCAGGTTGTGTAAAAAGCCTCATTTATCTTGATGCTGCTGCCCCAACTCTGCTATCTGAAACCTGCGCTGTAGTAACGTCATCAAAATGAGTCATGAATTGAATTAGGTGTCATGGATCACATGACAGAAAGCCTCTCGACCAGAATATGGCGACGTCTAGGTCATGGGAAAACGACTGACAGGCCCTGGAATGACAAACTTGAGCCAACAGGGATGTTAAAAAAAGACAGCATCTAGCACTCATTATATTTACTACTTTAAGTAATATTTACATTGAAGTTATTTTTATAAAATATGGGCTGCAGTCCAGGAAATTCCTTTGAATTAAGAATATTAAGAGAATTTATTTTGTTCTTATAAAGGACAAAATAAATGCTCACATAATAGCCAGAACAGCTGGCTATTATGAAAGCAAATAACGGTCCTTCTGCACTTCCCCATGGAAGACCTTCGGAGGTTAGCACTGGAATAATTTCCTTTGCAGGAACAGAGTGAGTAACAAAAGCAGGAAGAGCTCTGTTTACTCCAAGAGTCTTGACATTCACACTACAGCCATCCAACCCACCGCCTGCAACAGCCCCACAGACATGTTGGGAGACTGAACCAATACAGTCGAAATTATTTAAATCTCTAGGATTTGTGTCGATTCTTGTGAATTTCTGTCTTAGTGTAAGATGATATTTTTTAACAATTTGGTGTAGCTACTCTATAGCTAAAGTAGTCCGATGACAAAAACAGAGCACTAAACTGAATGATGGGGCTCTTTATGGAGAATTTACAGGTTAAAGCTGTTCAGAGACATTTGGGTAAAGTCATGAAATTACCCAATAGACCAGCACAGAACCAGGATAAATATATTAAATTATCCCGCAGGGATTTCGGTGATGAACAATTAATAAACGTTAAATGATTCCAACACACTCACATTAAACATTATATTTGTAGATGTTAATTTTATTTAACAAATATCCAGCCAGGAAAGTCCAAAGTGACAGGTTTATCTCTTTATGGATTTGGAATATCAATAAAATATTTGAAATAACACCAGTTGTTTTAAAGACGTGACTGATTTCTTAAATTTAAATAAAATTATTTTATTTTATGTCTCTCTACACTGCAAGAGTATAATATCAATTTATGGAAGAGTGAGGAGATTCTCAGAGCACCTTCCATATTTCAGTTAAATTATTTAGAAAGCTTAAGTTTTTATTAGGTTAAAAACAGTGAAAATAATTGGCTGCAGCCCCATTATTAGAGCCATTTTTTTCAGTCACAGATAAATCAGATCGTTAAATGTTGGATAGCTGGTCAGGCACAATGGGGCATTTGTTCACACGGCATAGACCTCCAAACTAAAACTGATCTAACAATGAGAGGAAAAGTCTGAGACATTTTAAGAACACAAGGTTGTTATGGGTCAACAAGCTTATACTTAAATTTTTCAAGATATTTGCTCTCATCTCCATCCTACAGTAAACCACTATTAGCACTTTGATGTACAGTGCTGGTCTCGCTTATTAGAACCTAAATTTGTTTAAATAACCTGCAAATAAATTTATCTTCTTCATTGAACACAATGAAGAGAGTATTTGCACTCACCTTTTAGTGAATGAATCCACTGCTGTTAATGCTTTGTACAGACCCAGTTTGACAAAATGATCAGATTTAGTCTTCTCAGATAATATTTCAAACTGGATGCACGCACACAGAGGAATCTTGATCATTTCTCTTTGTACAATCACCCTAAATCATTTCTTGACTTCAAAACCCCATGCAACATTTAAATGACTTCTGTATGATGGGACTAGAGACGTTACCTTGTTAGCAAACTTCAGGCTGATTGCATAGAGACTTGTTTTATCCTTTCATAATAGACATATGATCACTATGATTCTTCATCCCCAGTAAAGTGTGAATCTCTGTGCATACCTCTGTCCTGGTCTCCTATCTGATCTGCTCAAACTAGCAGTCATGACAGGAATGTTGAAGCCATAGTACCAGCAGCACACAGCATGAGATGTTCTAGTGCTAAACAAGCTGCCCTCCTTGCAAAGAAATTGCCTTATACATCCCCCTTCAATTTTACACAAAACCTAGATACATTTGGTCTTCTACCAGAAAAAAAAAGTTTTTTTTTCTCATGTTTTCTTTGTGATAAAAATAAAAGATCTATGTACATCCCTCTGAATTTGTGGATATTGTTGGGAGTAACATTTTAATGCAACTTTATACAAAACTAATACATTTTTCTACAGCCATTTACAGTCACCTGTGCAGAGAATGGACAACTTGGAATAATTGAATGGAAACATTTTATTGAAAAAATTCATTTGATATTAAAATCATCACAAATAATAATTCAAATCTGCAAGAGACAAAATTTAGACCAACGTTATACATAAATTACCAAGTGAGAAGTTAGTAAAGAGGCCCTCAGAGTAAATGAATTACGTAACTAATTACTTGAAGTTCAGTGCTTTTACTTCTCTCCCCCCCCTGCCATCTCTCCAGTAGTTGTGAGATAATAGCCAATGCTGACTTATACCTTTGTAGATAAATTCTCAAAGTAACTTAATTTCTTACCCATCTGTCAAATAGTTCAACACACATTGTGCTAACATGAGATTCAAAGGATTCATAGTAATCCTATGAGAGGGAATCACCACACCCAGCTGTGTAGAAACAACCGAGCCAACCACTGAGTAGGACAGGAAACTTTACACAAAGGGACAGTAAATGATGCTGGGTCCTTGTACACTGGTGTAACACAAGTTCCTATAAACCAAACTTTGGGATTCTTCACTTCTATATCCTGGCTCTCCTATGCTGCCTGGGTTGACACATGATTTGGTGCCACTTCTGATTACATTACAGAAAACGTAATGTAATGAGAGATACTACTTTAATGTTTCTCATATACAATTTGTAAAATCTCTTGCCAAAAAAAGAAACTACGATCAACTTATCATTTTCACTTTTATGTTTATTGTGTTACAATTTAAAACCAACATTCAAACTCAAACATTCATCCACTTTTTTTTTTGCTGTTTTTTTTGTAACAGTTCTCATGGCTGCTTTTTCCACTCATTTTCATTTCAGTTCAGTGCAAATGTCTGAACACTTCTTAGGAAATAGGTTTGTTTTTAAGCTACTTTATGAGTGATCATTTTATGTTCAGGTACAACAAAAACATCTCACTGTGCATGAATAACAAAACTTGGTAAATAAGTTCAGATGAATGTTTTAGGCATTTTGTAACTTGCAGCATGTTGTAAAGACAATTTGATCATTAGTTTTGCAGCTAAATCTTTACTGGAATGTGCAAAATGCTTAAAATGGAAAGGCATGTTTGGTAACTCCAGATGTCAACCTTAATGAGCAAAATGTTTCCTTGTGTCTTTACCCGAATCTTAGCTATAAGGTGCAGTGGCAAAATATTCAAATAAAATTAAACAGGAAAAAAGGCACATCAAAAGGCATCAAAGCACTTTGCTACAGATCCAAAACTGCTAATATTTGCTTTATATTTTGCAAACATTTTAAAGTAATTTTAATGAGACGCTAGTGTTTTCCAGCTGAATGAATTAACGCAATACAACGCTGCCTGAGTCAAAACATTTTGAAGCACACAACTGCTCAGAGAAGGCAATATACTTTCCTTGTGCTTACAAAACAAAACGAGTTCAGCAATTTGGAAATACATCCAGTCTAGAAAGAAAACAAAGACATAATGTGGAAGCCAAAAGGGGTCCCATCACTTTGAATCAACACGGTTTTAAATCTGCAGTTGGCAAAAATCAATCAGCTAATATCTTTAGAGAGTAGAGCAGGAAAAAGATAACTTTTCAAAAAGCACACAAAAGATAATACCAATATAAAATGGATGTTTATATTTGTTTTGCTAAAGTTTATGTCACAAAATTAATATATGCTACAAAAACATAAGACAATATCCTGAAGCAAAAGTAACTGTTGCTCCTTTTCTCTTTTGAATAAAAGTCAATACGTGAGGGTAAATGTCACAAACTTAAAATGATCATTATCATAATACTTCAAAACAATGACAAGCTCATACTGATCAATGTAGAAAAAGGCAAAACCCACCAGAATTTGTTGGTATACAGCTCTTCTTAAGTGACAGCATGGCATACGGGGGACAAAAATAACACTTTTTGCATTATCGTCAGCTTCTATGATGGTGCTGGCCAAATTAAAAATCATATCCCATTACAAAATGAATTCAAATAAAACCTGATCTATTAGCAGTAGATTCCCTACTATATAACTTCACTTATATTACTGAATGGGTTGTTATATATATAACGTTCTTATTTATTTTTACCATGAAAAATACTCACAGTTATTATAAATGTGGTAATGACAAACTAATAGAAGATGTTTGAAAAAACAAACAGTATCATTGGCAATGTCACTTTTGAAATTGAAAATCATTTTCTTCATTGATGGTTTAATTAAATACTTTAAATCTTTATAGCTGGAAAATATGACAGCAATTATTGTTGTTTGATACTCTGCTCAGCTGCTAATTGGTCTACATGATGAGACTCGTTAAGATATAAAGGTAGATTAGATCAACACTTCAGTGTTGTACATATAAAGGACAGAATTATAGCAGTGAAACTTTTGTGAAAGACACTAAAACACGATTATAGATATATTTTAATCAAGTATGATAAAGACGTCAGTGCAATGGCAAGTTACATTTCGTTTGTATTTTGGTCATGTGTGTAGCCCTAAGGTAGTAATAATATAAAAATAGTTCGTGGAAGAGGTGGAGGATGTAAACAGGAAAATGCATTCCTACCTTAGTGATTAATTTAAACCGCTCCTCTGAAAAAAGTGTGAATGTCATGAATGTGAAGGCTACAAGCTAACAACTGGATGGGTTTTTTCCCCCCAGGAAAACCGTTGAATATGCTGCTTTTTGCACCACAACACTTCAGCAACAGTAGAGCAGTTCTCAAAATTAACGACGTTATATTATTGAACGAATAAACATTTTTAAAATAAGGCTCAACTTTTCTAGGCGGCGGCCCTTTCTTACAGGGTGGGACTAGGAGAAAAGACAGACCGCTAGGAAACAATCCAGCCAAGCTAACTGGGCTTTGCGGCTAACACGAGCGTGACAAGTTATCAACCGTCAGAGCGCGAGCAGCGCATCAAGACTGACTCAAAGCAGAGAGAATGCCCGAAACAGATTCAGACCAATGTTATCGGATGGCTTTCACACCGTGAGGACTCACCTTAAAGTTAAAAAGCCGCAGTGATTTCAGGTGCCTCTGCAGTAAGTGCGTTCGCTGCTCTGAGCCCTTGTGCAAGTATGGCGAACAAGAGAACGGCGCCGCCCCGTTTACAGGCACGGGGCCGCGCGCGCTGCACGCGGCTGACGTAGTGCGGCCGCGCGCTGATATTCAACAGTCTTTCGGTCCTTCACCTCGTTAGTGTGAACAATAGCATCATGAAGTAATAACAGGATTAGACAGAATTAATATATATAGAGTAAAATAATTTCAAATTAGTTCAAATAATTTCAATAACATAGATACTTCTGGGCACCCAAAAGTTTGCTTCTCAGACAAATACAGTATTTAGATGAATAAAAATTACTTGCAATACATAAACGGGAACCTACAGAAATGTCATGTGCAGCACAATAAGTGGGTCTGTGGCACTGCCAACACCAGATGACATGGCTCCTCAGTCCTTCAGACTTTACACCAGACCTCAAACGACAACCAAGCCACAGACAGCAGAGGCTAAATACAAAAAAAAACTGACAGTTTTAGTCCATGCTTTGGACACCTAGCTGATATGTTTCTTTATGCCAACATGCTGGCGAGATAGTGACAAATGACAACATTGATTCATATCAACATTTATTGTTACAGTAAACAGACTGTCACAGAATCACATTTCCAATATAAAAAAAGGAATCCAAATGGAACTACTTGCTTTGGGCAATTTATTGTTCATATAAACTGAATTTATTCTCGAAACAAAATTGCCCTAAACACAGCAATGAAAAAAAAATGTATACAATAAAATTGTTTACACAATGGTCCTTGAAATAAAATGGCTTCAAAATGTTTGATGCATTATACTGTTAAAAAAAAAAAAAAAGAAAAACAAAAGAAGCACCCTGAGCGTTCCTAACTGGTGTCCATCTGACACTAAAACGAGAAAGAGATCATAATCATAGAATTATCAATATGAACATATACAGAGAAAGTAGAAACAACAACAAAAAAGTGTTATTCAGTAGCATACCTCTGATTTGTAAGCGTCCAACTGAGCATCTAACTCCTCTGCTGACAGCTGGGGTTTTCTTTCACTTCCCCTCCCTCGACCTCTGAAACCTCCACTGCTCCCGCCAGGTCTTCTTTCAAACCGGGGCTGACCGAGCCTACTGCGGTCAAAACCTCTGCTTGAGCTTCATACACACCAATTAAAAAAAAATTAATTAATTAAAAATCCCTTACACTTCTTCACTCTAAAACAAAAATAAAAATGAAAAATATCACCTGCTATCAAGTTTTGCATACCTCTGTGTTTGAACTTCTGATGATTCTTGCTGGATTTTCATGGGACGACCTGAAAAGCAAAAGCAATGACATCATGAACCTCTATTGTGACACCCAAAATATAGATAACAGTTACAAAAAAAAAAAAACAAGAAAATCTTACCATCAAGAGGAACACCATTATAATTCTTCATGGCTTTGACGGCATCAGCTTTATTTACAAAGTAGACATCTGCCATTCCTTTACTCCGGCCTGACCGGTCATAGTGTACCGATGCCGTCTTTATGGGGCCAAATTCTTCGAACAGCTCCTGGAGAGCAGAGCGTAAACGTAAGTTATGTGGGAACCACATGGTTAGAGGAAACAAGATTGAAAAAAATGTGCAAAACCACCTTAATATCGGAATCCGAAACTCCGAAATCCAGATTAGAAATCAGAAGCTTGCTGCTGCCGTCTACTGTTCTTTCTGATACTGTACTTCCTCCACCTTCATTCTCCTCAAACATGTCATGCTGCCATTTGTCTGGCAGCTCTCTGGGCTGTGGAGAGCAAAAAAGTAACGTAATAATAAAATTTCACAGGAACATGCATGAACACAGAAGTACATGGGCAACCCACTGAATTATTCTTTGTTTTGTTTGTATTTTGATGTCTGGGCTGACCATTAAAGGTTATTCTCCTCCACATCTACTGTGTTGTCTCTTGAAAAGAAACCGAGGTTAATTTGTCAACTGAAAGGAGTTAACAAATTAAATGTTGTTTAATTTGTCAACTGCTATATGCTGTTTTAGTTTGATCATTTCATGTTACTAGTAGTAAAAATGATAGTTTTACTACTTTTACACCTTCAAAGACTTTGAGCCTGTAGTGACATTTGCCCGACACTTTTATAACACTCTCTAGAATCAAGAACATGAAAAACCTTTTCCGCAATACTTTCACTTTCAACCTCAAACATCTCTCAAATGTAAACTTAAAAAAAAAAAGATCCACAAAGATAATTTCATGTGCCAACTTAAACAAAGCCTGATAGCTTTTCCCTGGATAAATTAATTAGAAATTTTGGTTGTTATTTTTAAATGTGACATTGGTGACCATGAAATTAGTCCCTTTAACATCAACTTTAACGTGTTATTATTTTTTTTTTTTTTACAGCAAACAGCATGCTTCCATTTTACATTGAAACCCAGGGTGGTTTGTCTTCTTGCTGTACAGCCTGAAGTTTAGGAGTTGCACAGGTTTTATCAGGGTATTTACCTAGTCTTCTTCTCCCATACTTATGTTTCCATACATAAATAGCATTTAAGTCTAGAATGTGCAGCAATGGCTGGCATTTCTCCAGGTCCAACATTATGACAGTCCGTCTTTATCGTGGAAATTATTTCTACCAGTGGGAAAGGGGTTTGCAGCCAATGAGCAAACTAGCTTTAAGTAAAGTGGTTCAGGAAGTGATGCACGTTCAATAACCCAGATTTAAACAATAGAGAGAAGCGAGTCATAGGAAACAACCCACTATTTAAAGCCTCTCTGTCTTACTCTGGTGTAAGGAGCTGCTCTGTTGTTCCTGTCGCGGTGAAAGTTGTTCTCTCCGCTCCTCGCCGCCGGCAGCGGCCTCGACGCTCCGCCGGCTCGACCTGAACTTCCTCCCCGCCTGAAGCCTCCTCCCTCTCCGCCGCGGCCCTCTCTCTTGTTCATCTTGATGATCTCGTCCAGAGACATGCTCATCTTATCAGCCATGTCGCCGTTGAAACTTTCTTGAAGCTAACAATGGAAATGGACGATGAACTTGCGACGTTTCCCAACTGATTTACGTTGGCGCGATGTCGAAATCCGCCTCCGTTCTGTCCTTGTTCTTCTCGTCGTGTTGGAAGTTTGCTTTGTGTTGCTGACACCTAATGGCCCGGAGTGACAACGAGAACGTGCCACGTCCGCCATATTTTGAGTGGCCAGTTCTCCCTGAAACAACAGAATTAGTTTGGAAACCACTTTCCCTTTTAGAAGCACCACTAAACTTTAAATACACCTAAATCTGGATGACTACTTTATATTACAACATACGTTCCCTTTAGTTCAAGTAATTGCAATAAAGCTCTGTGTTCAAGTGTATTTAAAATGCAATTGCCTTTTGCTTCTAAAAATGAACCAAGGTTATTGTAGCTATTTTAGTCTTATTCATATTTTAAGTAGATATTGTTTTTCAAGAGTAGACGCTGCTTGTTTAGTGACTTAATAAAGTTGAAGGTGGTTTCTCATATTTATTATTTCAATGTTGAGAAAAATGCTTAGCTCATCTTCCCATAAAGTTCCCCAGTAAAGAAATGTTGCATAATGCTGCAACGTATTTGTCACAATCGACAGTTTGTTCAGAGCAATGCACAATGTCTGTAATTTTCTGACCACAGTACCTATCTCCATGCATTAAAATATGTCATATTTTAATGTACCAGATTGATGTGAAGTTTATTACCGGTAGCACCTTGTAGATTGTAGAGAGGGTTTATTTTGACTGTCATTTTTCCAGTTTTCCATAAGGGTCAGACACACGTAATCCTGTTAACATATTCACCCACCTGAGCCGTTGATCTCTGTTCTCCTTCAGAGTTATGCATGCATCTCGGCTGTTTCTCCTTTTCCAGGCAGTAAATGCATATAAAAATGTATGGTATAGTCTTTGTGGGTTTGAATGCTCTTTCCATTTGTAGTTGATGTATTAAAAACATATGTTTGACCCTAGGTATATGCTGTTATAAACTAGCCCTGCTGTAAACCTCTCCACCACTTTTACCCCAACCCGTCTGCTGTACTGATTTCTTGGTCTTAGCATTATTTGACCTGTAAGAAACCTCTGCCATCTTCACAGAATAGCCATATCTAGAGACCGATAAAATTACACAGACTACATTTAAACATTAGACAACAGAAGGTGATTGGTTGCACTTGATTTTATTTAGGGTTATTTAAAATTGCACATATTTTTCCATAAATGTCCTGCTCTTCCAAGTGAAATTAAGTATAATTATAATAATTTCTTAATATTTAATACAGAAATTGTATATCTTTAGTCATGTTTTTCAAATGTATATATTTGTAAAATAGCTGAATACGCATCCACCAAAAAGTGGTAAATTGTTATTTTTAATTGAGTTGTCCTTTTTTGTTCTTCAAAACAATTTGCATCAGTGAGATGATATTTAACTTATTGTTTCAAGAAATACCAGCGCTCTTTAGGGTGCATTTGGTGGGAGTCACATTTTGAAAAATCAACTTCTCGTACATATTTTAATGTACCAGATCGATGTGAAGTTTATTACCGGTAGCACCTTTATTAAAATAACTCTATACCAAGTGCATTTGCAATCAGTATAGAGTGGAACTGCCATAAATCCACTCTCGGAAAAGAATATCTATTCTATCCTATTTGCTTATTTAAGCAAACATTGTGGCAGATCAACACATTACCTACCCATCATTAGCTTAGGTGTGAACCAAAACAAAAAAAACAGAAGCAAACTATACAACACACTTTGGACAGGCTACGCACTTCCTTTATTACAGGTCTCCCTATGGGCAGCCTTCAAACCAGATGACCAGTCATTCATCTGCAGCAGCAAACAAACGTTTACATATATGCCTACTTAGAGTATTTGTGTAACAATCACACAGCTCTACATGAGTACCCGTGTAGTCTACATCAATATACTCACTAGTGCAGTCATTGCTCTCCGGGTGATATAGATGACAAATGTGCTCCAATTGCATGTGCAGCTCAGTCTGAGTTAATGATGGAATGGAGTCAGAAATGCAGGCTGCATGAGTGAGGCGGTGGCCAACCAGAGGAAGGAAGAAACACAGGAAATTTTTCTTTTTAATAGTTCCAGGGCCTTATCCTGCCACGCCATGAGTGCTGGGTGGTGTCCACTTGAGGGAGCTGTAACAAAGGACAAAACCATGAACACACCCTAGTGATCAGAAGTAGAAAGTTGACAAAAGTTATACACTGACAAAAACTTGCTAACAATCTGGCATTTGCTGATATTGATATAGAAATGCTTAGGGCAGAGTTTATTACACACACACGTCCTTTTGGATCCTATTTTAGATTATGTTAATAACAGGGAGAGGAGAATATGGCTACGAGAAACCAAAAGTCAAAGGTGACATGCTATGAAGACCAAAGAATGAAAATAATTTTGTCATACACAAATAAAATTCACAAGTCACACTAGTGAAAACATCTCCACAGTTTGGTGTGGGGATTGCTGCCTAAATGCACCAGGGCAATTTTATGCTGCAAAAAGTATATTTCAATATTGCATTCTAATTGCAAGATTGATTTAATTAAATTGCATCAAAGTAGACAAGCCATTTCGATGGAGCAAGAGCCTATGCTTGTATAGCCTTCAACCATTGGGATTATTTGTGTATGAGTAGGTGTGTAGCTGCATGTCCGCATTGAGCATTTCTGAGTATGAAAATCTCTTGAAGGTAAAAAGTTGCTAGAATGGTGCAAAGGGTGGAAAGCTTGCAACACTTGGAGGTCAAGACCATAAAAGGGCAAACTGCAGAAAGACACCAACTTATAGCAGTCTTCCAGCCATCACAAAGGCAGGTTGTCAGTGACACAGAGGAGAATCATTCCACAGACCAAAGAGGCACAGATAGAGAAGGAATGCACTGAACCCCTGCCTCAGCATCACTTCCATGTCCCACAGTGCAGAACAAGTCTTGAACCCCACTCCACTGGCAGTCAGGCTCCTGCACAAGCACCCAATACTCCCCACACCAACATACAGGTCCCAGAATAACCAAGAGAGGGGGAGCACGGTATCATTTTCACTTGTGAGCAATATTAGGGATTCCATTGGGCACAGGCTGAGAGCCCATCATGTTCAGACATAGACCAAACCGCCACAACCCAGTAAGGGCCACAACCCCCTCCAACCAACTATCGCTAAAGATGTCGTCAGAGATCCCAAGCCATTCCTACCTGATCTAACCAGCGGCTTTTGTTTATGTGTTAAAGCAGGAAAGTTGCTAAAACATAAGCGACAACAACCATGTCCAGATTAGCTCCTCCTTCCTTTAAAAAATATTTACTGATAATTAGTAAACCTACATAAAGAAATTTATTGTCAGAGATTTGAATATTCTTTACCGTGCAACAGAAATGTTCCCTTGAATGTTTAACTTTGTGAATACCAAACCACATTAGTCATTCATGCACAAGATTCAACACTTAGAAGAGCTCTTTGATGCCTCCCACCTTCTCACTGGTAGAACTTAATCTCTGTGTCCACACAATCAAAGAACAGGTCCCCCAGTTCGTCTCCTGGTATCTCTCCGCTGAGCATGGCTGAGATCTCACTCAGACACTGCGACTCCAGATCCCTCAGGATGTCGTAGACGGCTAAACCTTCATCCTGCAGCAGACACACAACACACACAGACGTCTGAGTGTCAACACCACCTGGGTCAGATGACACTCACAAGTCATTTGTTTAAGCTTACAGAAGCAGCAGCAATCTGACTCATCTGCAGAATACAGTAAAAGTCCTGTATGTTAAAATGAAGTGAATTCGGAGAGATTTGTACTTTTGTTTTCCAAGTCTGACATTTGTTGGAGATCTTTAGAAAATATTGACATTTAGATATCTGTAATTGTTGCTTTTCAAAAAAAAAATCTTCATATTTTTTGCTTTTTTTTATTTTTTAAGCAGTGTGGTTTTATCAAGAAACACCAAACTTCCTGAGTCTATTTCAGCTAGACATTCACGACTGTGGAAATATTAATAACAGCAGAAACACGACCATCGTTGATCAATATCTGTTTCCTCTCAACAACAGATGTACTGTAAAAAAACAATGCACTGCTTTGTGAAAAGAAAAAGGCTGAGATTGATGCCTCCAAATGTGTTAATAAAACTGTGATATAATAGTAGGAAAATATTTTAGGATGAGAGGATGTTCTTATACCTCTTATGTCACTGTAAAAAAATAAAATAAAATAAACTTTTATACCTGGAGTCCCCATGGAAGAACATCTGCAGTTTAAATATTTGGGTTTGTAGTTGGTGGTTATCTTACAGCCTCATTTCCTTTTTAACTTAAGCCTGTTTATTTTTTATTTATTTTTGCTCTCCACACACCTGGTTTACATTTCTAATTACCACATGTGCTTTACTTTAATTGCTGTCTTCTGAGAGTATATTTTCTGCCTGGCTTCCTTTGTCAAATACCTGGTTTATACTATAAACTTTTAAGTTATTTCCCAAGGAGCCATTTCAGTTGTAGCTTAGACAAACACCATGGATCTGAACTGTAGAACAGACTTTGTTAGAGCTGGTCAAATTAACAACTTGCACTCCAGATGATGTCCAGACAACATTATGATGCATTTATGCACGAAAACCTAACAATTTGAATAAATTACAATTCTCCAAGGAAGTGCAAGATAGAACTCCCTGACAATTATGTAACAGACTCAGATGGATTATTCTCTTAACAAATGAAAATGTCATTAGAAACTGCTCTTCACTCAAGTTTTCTATTCTTTATATTAAAATTAGCTATACAATCTAAAACAAGACTGATTTTTAAAAAAAATGAAAGAGGAAAATTCAGTTTGTACTGGCAGAGATGCAAAGGTCATACCTGCATTTTATTAGTTTTGAATTCAGTGATGTTGGAAGTTATGATAATTGATACCTTTAAAATAAACTACTTTTTTTATCGTAATGTATTACACACATGAATACTGCGTTGGTCATCTTTCCAAACCAAAGTGCCTCAACTTTTAATAATTTTAAAATTAAAATAAAGATATGAGCTAATTCTGAATGAAATAAACACGGCATGGGTTATTTTAGATTCTCGGGATGGTGACTAATGTCAGTCCAAAGAGGGCTCTGGACTGTCTGTGACCGGTTTACCTTCTAAATTACACACTGAATCTCAGACGGAACATTAGCTAAAAAAACCTACAGCAAAAAACAAACCCTCTTCTTAGGAAACATTCTTCACAGCTCTCTTAGACAAGTCAGACTTTTAGTTACTTTGTAAAGTTATTTTAGCTCATCTGTTTGTCTACTGTGGAGAAATTTTGGATGTGCGACTCCTATAAACATTATCCACTAGTAGCATGTCAAGTTTCTTAATTGGTCATGCTTCCTTAGATTGAACTGGTTAAATGGGAACCAGAACCGTAATAAATGGAAATAGACATTATATATAATCTCAAAGCATAACTCAAAATTCTGTATGAGAGATTTGAGCTTTTCTGAAATTACTTACTAGTTTGCAAACATTGAGGCCAAATAGCAATTTATAGATATAAAGTGGAGCTACAAATCTGCAAACTGGTGAACCCACCGAGACCCATAAGCGACCATTCAGTAAACAAATTGATTTTAAATGTCATCTAGCAGTCACTGTCAAACTTGGGCTTTATTTATTCAAGACTGTGCCTAGAGTGGCCAATACGCCACTTAAACATACAACTGAAGATCAAATTTAAAGTACCTTCTTTGCTAACATGTTTGCTATATCAGCCGAAATGCCAAAATCCGATTTTTGTGTAACTCAGGGATGTTGTTAACTTCCAACACAGATGGTTTCTGTCAAAGAGGTCAATAATATCCCCACCGGCTTGGTCTCCATGGTGTTGAGCGCCACCTGGTGGGCCTTGTAGAGATCGTGTCTGCGATCCACCCGGCTCTGAAAGCGCGGCTGCTTCCTGACGGGGTCGCTTGGTCCAAACTGCGGAGAGACAACCCTCAGGACCGGGGTCAGACAGTCCGAGAATATAAAAGGTTTGAATATAGACCTGAGGAGGTGTGGGGTGTTGGTGAGGGGAAACAGAGATTGATAGATTCATAAGACAAGAGAGTACACTGATGTGGAGCAGCCTATAGTCATTTTGATATCAAACCCAAAGCTTGGTATTTTCTAGACAGATTCCAAAGAGTCTGCACTTCAAAATAAAATGTGCAAAGGGTTTGCTCTAAACTTTTACATGTCATCCCAACATAGCCTAACTGCTTCTTGCTGTAGCATGAGACAAACCTGGATGGGTCTGGGGTGGCAGTGAAGAAGTGAATGCAGGGAAGGCTAGTGTCTCTGGGCAGGACAGACACCATGCTCCCCGTGGTGCAAAATCCTCCAGAGTCCATGCAGATGCCGCTGGGTTTATCCCTCAGGATGGTCATCATCACCTCTGCTGTCACTGAGCCTGAACAACAAAAGTGATCAGCATCTCTATTGGGTTTCATTGCACAGGTTCGCTTTAACAAATGCCATAACTTACAGAATAATCAATGAAAATCATCAAAATCATATTGTGGAAAATCTACCATCATACTGTTGAAGCAGTTCTGTGCCTCCTTTGTAGCGCTTCTTGCTCAGCTCCATCCTGGCCGGAGGGTTTTCAGGACTAAACACCTGAGAGAAGTTGAACTCTCCCTGGCCATCCCACCACCCCTGGTTCTTGGCCACGCTTCGTAGTTCTGGATGCTCTGCTGAGATCTCTGTGTGGATGGTTAATTGATTGGAAATGTTCTTTACGCCCTCTGAAAAGACAAAGCAAATGTTGTTTTTTATTAACTGGCTTAAATAGAATCCAAAATATTTCTTCCTTCAAAAAAGTAGCTTCACTAATTACTGAAAAAAGTCCAAACGTATTCCCAGGCCTGACAGGATGTGTAATCCATGCAACAACCTCAAAGACTGATCCTTTAAGCAGAATTTGCCCAAAAAGTGAGAGTGAGCATGCAAAAGGGCATACATCATCAATTTTAAAACTTATCCTTTTCAATTGTGTTCAGACTTGTTGCTCATTGCAAACTGAATAATAATTAAAAAGGAAGGGAACAAGCAAGAGCAAGGCAGCCGAGATTCCAGCTCAAAGTTTCTGAAAAATGATATGACATTTAGAAGGTCAAATGTTTCAGGCTTTAGTGCAACACAAAGCAAAACCAAACTCTTGTAAAGGTCCAAACACACTGTAGTTTTTGCACTTACATATTTTTTTGGGAGATTATCAACCACATCTGTCAAACTGACAAGGCTTTCTGTAGTTGGTTTAGTTTGTTGACCCTGAATACTCATTGCAAGCTCAAGCTTCATATTTGGTTGATGGAAGCGAAATGACAATACTGACATGGAATCAGACTGCAGTTACAAATGCGTTTTTCTTCATTTAGCTCAGGCACGAGGAAAATTGTCATGATGCAACTGAAGCTAATTATCATGGCAATTTATGCAGGAGGATCATCTGGTGATTGATTTAATATGATATGTGGACCTAAGCAAAGTTTTGAACTGAGAAATGACAAAAAAAAAGGAAATCGCTGTATAAATCCAGATGATGTCACCATTCATTTATGGTAATCATGTCCTGTTTTTAACCGGTAAGGGGCTACAAATGATTTTTGTAGATAAAAAAATGCTTTCAAAATTACAAGCCTGATTTGAAGAACAATGGAAAGGTCGATTAGGACTTATTTGTGCTTAATACTTTCAAAAATGTGTCGAATTTATGGCTGTAAAACTAATATATTCCCTCTAAAAACTGACCTGAGACTTTCTGTGCCACCCAGAGTCTCCCAGCAGTTTCGAGTACCCAGGCTTCACTGCGGTCCACCAGGAGGAAGGTGTTGTGGTAGCTGAAGGGTTCTGGTTCCTCCTTGCACTGCCCGCCCTGGCCATGCTGCTCCAAGAGGCCAGTAATGACTGTCAGTGCTGCCCAGGCACTGTCACCACGTTCCAGCCCGAGCCTGAAGATCAAACGCTGATCGCTGAAATGCGGTTTGGGGGCTATGCTTATGTAAAGTGTGTTTGGATTGTGGTTCTTCTTGGTTTGAGGCAGCTCTGAAAGCTGAAGGAGTATTTTCCTATGCAATTATGAATCGATATGAACTGCACTTCTACTTAGTTGAAATTGCACAATCTACACAACTCTACAAATAGGATTACTTCCTCCAAGTGTGCAACATCAAAGCAGTATTTAACGACAACAATGAAAGATCGGTAACTTTTTATGTTTTATCAAAATAAATCAGAGTTAATTTGAAAATGCTTCAACAGCTCACCGGACAAGGTCCATGCCCAGCAAAGCCTCTCCAGGGAGCACAGGCTCTCGGGTCCAGACTGCCTCATTCCCAATGCACACTCCTTGGTCATTAGCTCCCATTTCGGCGCCCCACAGCCAGGCTGGTTTACTGAGGACAACGGCATAGGTTCTCTCCACTTGAGGGATTTGGATGTACGTGCACTGCAGAAAAAAATTTATTAATGGGAGAAAAAAACGACCTTTAATTATAAAGAAGAAGTTAAACAACATTGCACAGTTGAGTTAGAAGCCAAAAGACTTCTACATGAACTCAGTTGAGTTAGAAGTACTGGGTGCAATATAGTACGATACTGTATTTTATCCAGAGCGCAAAGATGGCAATTCCTCTCCCTTCACAGACAAAAAATATATTGGTGAGCTGTAGTGGGACATACTGTGTTCATGGGACTATTAGAGATATAGTTCTCCTCGCAAACATGAACAAAACTGAAACCTGCAGCTCTCAAGTATTAGTTATGACAAACCGAACCCGTCCAAAGTCTCAATCAGCCTCCTAAAGTCAATAACAAAAGTCAACAAAAGTCACCAAATCAACAAAATAACTATTAGACAGACTATGATCCTAAAGACTGAACGATGTGAAGGAAAAGTGTTTCACCTCATCAGACATAAGGTGAAACATACCAGTATTTCCATCAAGGACTAACTGAGAAATAAAAGATGTAAAGTCCTGGTAAAGAACTATGACCCAGATCTTGATGCCATTGATAAGGAACGGGTAGCTTTAAACACGTTTCATATGTAGGAAACCCCTAAAGCATCTCACAGCAAAATTGAGGAGTGGGGAAAATGTTCCTCAGAACAATGTTGTAGAAGAGTAAGTCATGGCTGCAGGAAGAGTAAGTCATGGCTGCAGGAAGCACTAACGCTGAGCTAATTTGGAGCAAAGGTGTGCTAGATTGATGTTAAATAAGATATTATTTGAAAACTAGATTAAGTCAGGTATTATTTGTAATTAGACTGCATTTCAATAATAAACAATCCTATGAATGAAGATTTACATTTTTTTAATGAATAAATATTTCATTTGTACATCAGTGCTTTTCCTGAAAGTTATTCATTGTCTTTGAAATTAAAGGAGACTTTTGGCTGCACTGAAATGCCACTTCAGTTTTAAAATACATTGATGAGGCTTTAAAATGACTGAATTAGCAAACTATGCATATTGACGTCTCAAACACACTAACAAGAGGGAATGACGCTTGTATTGTCTTAAACTGCTTTCACCTATGAACACTGTAGATGGTCATAAATATGCAGTGTTCAGTGTTAGAGATTTTTTGATATTATCATTTTGTTAAAGTGTTCTCTTCCTTATGAGTGTATGGGCTGACTTGGAGGTTACGACTGTCTTCATGCGAGATAGTAAAACTTTATGGTTCTCAGACCCTAAAGTTTTCTCTGGTGTTTATCTACCCGGTCTTAGGTGACAGTTTGACCTAGAGCTGAACTGGGCTCAGATTGTAAATTAGATATCACACCTGGAACTGAGTTGTTGGTCTGTTTGTGTTAAATGTTTTACGACCTCTGTTGTTTGATGTTCTTTGACAATAAAGAGGGAGCTCACGTGAAAGCAGATCAGAACTCTCTTTTGACCAGCTCGGAGGAGCTGTAGATCGGGATTTCTCCTTCTGCAGAAGCCTGACCATATTTAATTCATATACGTTGTCTGTGGTTATTTTATTGTAGGTTCGAGGAAAATACCTAACATTCAGTTTGTTTGGGACTTTTTCTGCTGTTGCTGTTCAGACACGTACATCACAGCATGAGGTTTTTCGCTGGAGATGAGCTCTGACAGCATGCAAATACGGTGGAGGGAGGGGAGGTGGCTGTGGTCGCTGTAAAAGTACTGTGTTTTCTTTATGACGTGTCAAGAATTGTGAATGGATTTTCTTGATTGCTTCTTGCTTTGACAACAATATTACCAGCATTTAACGGCACCAACAGCTTGCAGCAAAAGGCGCTATAATATTTACGTGGCGGAGCTGAAATGTTCTGTAAACGTTCCGATTTTTATACATGAAAAAATGTGAAAACAATGTTTCCTTTTTCTTCCACTTCATAGTTATGCAATACTTTGAGAACGCTTGTCACACAAAATCTCAGCAAAACACATTAAGGTTTGCGGTTGCGGCAGTATGTGTGAATACTTGGAGTGTGAACACTTTTGTAAGACATTAAGCCGCATTATCCAAGGCAACTATTGTTCAAGACGACTTCACTGGAATACAAGCCTAACCAGTCCTGTATATTTATTATTGTGGTTTTGAGTGAACCATGATGATGACCTTCTGATCCCACTCTGCCCACCCACACTCATGGGCTAAAGAGGGGAAAAGGGGGGCGCCTTGGTCGCAGCAGTAAGTGGGCCAGATTTACCTCCAGCGTGGATCCCGGAGGATGAGACGCTGCAGGGTGGTAGACCACCTCCTGCACCTCATCTCGGGGACGGTCCGAGTTCTTCCCAAAAATCACGTGGTCATCGCGAGAACCGGGGGGTAAAGACACAAAACAGTCGCATGACATGGGAGCCTGTGCCATCCTGCAACAACAACAAAACGAAAAGAAAAAAAAGGCAAAAGAAACAGTGAGGAGGAGGGAGCTGCAGCTTAAAACATGCCAAATAAGCACTTTCTAGTGTAAACAACCCCGAGAGTCTGACAAGACTGGCATCCAGCAGGACTGAGCGAGCTTCCGCTCTTTAACCGAAAAGCGCATGCGAGGCGTCAGGAGGAAGGGACCTCTCCGCCCAGCGCCCGTCCTGCGCCTCGCAGAGGGAAAGTCCGCTCCAGCCGGCCGGTGTGCGCTGAACATCACGCACGGATTAGGCGGCGGTCTTGTGCAGAGCACTTCATTGACCGTAATCTCCTCAAATCCGAAACCCCCGTGCGTTGCTTTATTTCCGCTCCTCGCACGCCATTTGCCATCGCGAATCGCTTCCGATCCGGCAATGATGCGTGGGACGGGAGGGCGGCCAAAAAAGAAAGAAAAAGTGAGCCGAGGAGCCGCGTGTTTACGCAGCTCGCTGTCTGCGAGGCGCTTACTCCCAGAGATAAGGCCCTGCGCTGCTACTGTCCGAGACGACGCTTCGGCTCTGCTTATTACCGGGACATAAAGAGGAGCGGGGGGTTAAAATAAATACAAATAAAAATCAGAGGAAGTGGGGGCTGGGTTTGGTCGGATCACGGCGTCTAAAAACTAGACGACAACCAAGATTTACCTGTGTTTTAATTGTTCGGTTGGTGGGAGCGGGACGGTCAGCAGGGAGAAGACAGGCTGGTTGTAGAAACCGAGTCACGTGACCGAGAAATCCAAAGGTCTGTACTTAAAGGTCTCGTCTCGTCTGGCCACAAACAGCTCATCGTCTGTCAGAGTCCGGTTCACAGTGATGACGATGCAGCTTTTTTTCCTTTTTTTAAATTTTTTTAAAATCAAGGATCTGTCTCTTACTGGCTGCAAACTCACAGCTGACGTCGCATTTATCACGGGAATCCCTGCAAGTTCACACCAAAACGTGCAATCTTTGAAAAGTAAAGATACGTGTGCATCTGATGATATTGGAACTGGTGCTGTTAGCCATTGCTTATTGCGGCAAGAGGAAAGACAATGTCGGGGGGCAATTAGACGCTTTGTTTGCAACCAGCCAGTGTGGGACATGGTTTCAAGAGGACTAAATAACATTTAGTTGAATTTTTCGTCTTATTTTGTTGTTCATCTTTTACAGCTGCAAAACGCATTGTCTTATAATCCCATAGAAAATGTGCATATGTGTTGAAAGTCAGAGTTACAAATGGCAAAACTGGTTTTGTATGTGTTTAGATGTAAAATAGACTGAGCAGGAATAATATTAATGATTCAACTAAACCTACTCTGGTTGTTGTGAGACAGGCTTGAGTTTGAATTACTCTTACAAAACATCATAAATATTTTCCTGTCTGTTCACAGCCTAATATTTCTGGGTTTTTTGTTTCCTTTTCTGAACTTTAATTTTTTTTCTTTTGATTTTTCTAATCGTTAATAGATGATTAACCTGCCAATGTCCTGTGTGTGTCTGAGTCTTCCACATCCACAACAATTTTCAAAACTAATACTTCATATGAATCTAAACATTACATCCCTAACAACAAGCATGGTGGTGGCAGCATCTTGCACTGGGATGTCATGTTCTAGAGCTCTGTGTTCGTTTTGTATCTGTTTAGGATACTTTAGGTTTTTAATATGTTGGTCTGTGTTTTATATTTATGGTTGATTGATTTAGTTACTGATTTTCTTCCTAGAACTTTGTTTCTGTTTTATTTTGGTATCGTGCTTCCTGTGTCTTACTTTTTCAGGTTTTTGTCACTCTTGTTTCTGAGTTTTATTGTTTTGCCATTTTAGTCATTCTTGTTTCGGGTCAAGTCCACTTTTGCCATTTTAAATCTCTCTCTAATTAAATCCCTGCAAGTTTTCACAAATCTGCATAATTTATGAAAAGGATTAAACAATTGAAAGATCTGAAAGATATTCAAATGAAGAAAAAAACAAAAGCTCATGACACTCAAAAGTCTCCATTTTCCCAAACAGGATTTAAATTGAAACAATTATTGTGAAGATGACTTGTACACTATTGACATGCAGGATTAGTAGGTTTTTGAATTCAATTAGCTGCAATGAGGTGACAGATTTTATTTGACTAACGATTTTATCTTTGCAATAAACTTGCTTATTGGAAAAGAAAGAAAAATCCAAGGAAGTGTTTTTCTATTATTGTTGGCAATAGTTAACAAGTCAGCGTGTCACGTAACTCCTGTGATGTTAACGCTCCTTCAATTTTTTCAACAAGCGTGTGTGACTTAGGATGAAAGGTTGTGAGTTGTTTTCAGTTTTAACCACTAGATGTCACTGCATTCAATGCACTTGACCTTTAAAATGCTAGAAAGCCCCTTTATTTGTGTTACCAGACAATCGCACAAGCAGATTACGATATAAATGAATGAATCAAAAAATATAATTAACACTCCATGTAGTAAAGAGTTTTGCACCAGGATATTTTTATGAAACCCCATGAAACATAAAGGAAGATACAGAGCACATTTGCATCACTAGATTATATGAAATAAAAGTTGTACTACACCTCAGTACTAAGTGGAATAATACTGAGTGTAACAAGTTAAATATATGTTTATCTTTGCTGTATAAATAGGTCACAGTCTTTGGCTCAATGACACTGCTCCTGCACAGCACTGGTTTTTACCGGTCCCTGAATCCCCTGTTGGCTAATCAGTGTAATTAAAGTTTGTGTGTGGTGTCAGTAGTTTATTGAGTGGGTGTGTCTCCCCTCAGTGGTGTTTCATTGAATTATGTTGCTGGCACTCCCTGTCTCAGACTTTGGAGACACATTCAGTCTCGCTACACTTTGGAAACCACTGATTGATTTTTAAGGGTCGAATCCTTGCGTTTTATTGGATATAGGTTATGCTCACTGTATCTGCTTCTGTAATGTTTGCAGAGAGGGGATTCCAGCCTACAGATTTTTTTAAAATCAGCATCAAGGCTTAAAACATTCTCATTTTTTGTTGTATAAGTGGTTCAAGTTTGGCTCTGTGAAGGTTCTTCTGCTTTACCATATTAAGGCAGTCTGTATTGCTTATTTGTAGATCCAGTCACCCTTTCTGTCACACAATAAAATGTTGCTTTATGGGTTGTCTGTTGATGCCAAACTCAGCATCCATACACAGTGGTACAGAGAACCCTTCACAGTTCAATAGCTGGGGACTCAACTATTTGCAGATATTATTTTTATTCATGGAATGTATCTTCTACATATTTGCATAAAATCTGCTTATTTGAAAATAACTTTGTGGCGCATATGTGAAATATTTGACAGGAAATGCACGCAGCTGGAATATTAGGCCAGGAGTTTTTGACTCCAGTTCTCATGGGCTGAGGTGCTGCAGCTTTTAGATGTGATCCTGGTCCAATACACGTGTGTCAAATGACTGAATTTGATGCAAGTGACTTGTGATCAAGTTCTTGAGAGTCCTGCTATCTCTTAGTGATTTAACTAAGGTTTGTTGAGACAGAGACACATCTAAAATTGTAGAACACCAACTGTTGAGAACTGGATTTCAAGACCTCTGACGTAGGCACAATGCTACTTAGCAGATGCCCCGACCTGCAGAGCTGAATCATGTGCTTTGGGATGGTAGATCTACACTTCTGCACATAACGTGTGCAACCGGTAGCGGAACCTAAACACAAAAGGCTCACCTCGACAACAAAGTTTCCTTCACTTTGGCTTTATAAGACAAACAACTTAGCTGGTAAAATATAATTGCCGATTAAACAGGCCCTTCAGTCCTTTCTTTGGAATAAAACGATCAACCGAAAATGACATCAAGCGTTTTACAAACACTGTGTCAAAAAGAATGCTAGAAATGTTTTCTTTAGTCAGGCAAACCAGTTCAGCTGCACTGACTGACATGCATAATCCTTTCTTTGGCTCAATTGTTTTAAGTCAATGAGCACCACTGGTCAATATGCATTCAAGCAGATTCCATTTTGAAAAGGTACTCGGTTGCGTGTTTTGATGGCGCAGTTATGACGAATGAGCGTTTTATCAGCTCACTTGCCCATGAGTGGCAGTTTGTCTGCGTCAAGCCCTCAACCCACGCTCATCTGTCAAGAAGAAACACCTGGACCCCACTGAATCCCACTTATGCCAAATTGGGAGGAGGTGATGAGTTATTTGGCGAAGCAGCACGCTCCTGACTGATGTCTCCACACAGCCTCTGGGGAGCGCTGAGGGCGATGGGCCTGAAAAAGTTGAGAAATCTGTGAGAAGACATCCTGTTACCTGAACGCAACAGGCAACTTCCACTCCCTCCTCCGGCCTTTCATCTCCCGGAGCTGCTGACAAGCATCGCACATCCTGTCTGCCCTCACACAAAACACCATGAGAAGTAAACACCCACCTGAGCCAAAAGCAGACACACCCAAGGAAAGGATTGTACGCGTAAACAACGTGCACATACACACGCAGAAAGGTGCGTGTAAGCCAGCACAGACGTAGTGAAACTAGCACATGAGCGAGGCTTGTAAATGCATTCATATATCAAACTACAAAAGTAACAAGCTGCTATTTTGACTTAAAGTGAGATGAACAGCAGGTAATTAGTCGAGTACAGCTAAGAAGGAAACTGGATGTTGCCCTGTTAGTCACAACAAGTTATTAAATTACCTTTGTGTTTTTTGTTCTGATGGAGAATAAAATAACTGTCTTGATGAGTCTTTAAAGATAAATCTAAACAAACCTCACTTTATCAGCACCATGGTTGGCACCTGTATATATTTTGTGAACGCACATTTGGAATATCTTTTATACTTTTTTAACTTTTCAATATTTTTGTATCACTTTGTAATCACCGACTTCAATGTATTATCATGGGATTTAATGTGATATTACAGCGTGATGCCGGGTAAAACGGCAAAGCTGAATGGAAAGTGTAGATGGTTTCATGAAAGCAGAATTTATAGTTCCATTGATTACACCAGCTTGCCCAGACCTGCAGCCCCAAAGCAGTCATGCTGTTTCTCTTATATATGCTTTGTTAGTTTCGTGCCAGATGTAATGGGATGCATCATTTCCAGAAAGTTTCACGGAATGTTTTTTTTATTTTCGGTCAGCACACTTTTAAAGCTCTCCCTTGGATACCGTTGAATCCCAGTCTTATTCTTGTTAATCAATAATGCTTCAGATGCTGCTGTGAGACCTTCTAAATGAGTTGCTGATGCATTCCATGGCCACTCAACGACAGAAAACTGATCCCTGTTTTCTCAGTTTGTGAACTCTCACTGTGGTTCACTTGACTTCCAAAGCCTCATGATTGACCTTTTAACCTTTTCCAGACTGATAAATGTCAGTGACTTTGTTCCTCAACCGCTCTTGAATTTCCTTAGATCAGGACATGATATGTTGCTTTTGAAGACCTTTTAGCCTTATTCATGTTTCACATGCTTTATTATCATTTTATTTAATTTAATTTTGCCCATGAAAGGAAGCCATAATTCATGATTTAATAAGGAACCAGTATCTGTACATTCACACAGAGCGCCAGAATGGTTTCTGCTGTTTGTTTTTAACACCTGATCAAAAGGTTTTTGTGTTTTGGTTTTCTTTTGTGTTGGTTTCTTGAACATTTATTTGTTGTTGAATTGATCTTGCCATATTCACTCTTTCATTACCATCCATATTGTTTTCCCATATCAGTTCATACATTTTATGGTTGTTAGTTTATTGCTGTGTTCTTTTCTTGGTGCATTTTGAATCATTCTTCTTTGTTACATTTAGTCTTTCCCCTTTGGCTTGTTGTTCCTATGTGACTAATTTAGTTCCATCTGTCTGAATCATGAATCTTCCCTCAGCCTCGCTGCTTTGCTGTTCCACATTCCCCTGATTTGCCTCACCTACATACAGTGCCCCACTCTTACATCAATATATTAGCCCACTGGGTTTCTGTGTTCGTTGCTGGTGATTGTCCTCCATGTTCTGGTCTGCATG